TGTGTGCACATGTGTACACAATCCACGGACCACGCACACCACACACGTGCACACGTATGCACGACCCACTGAGCACACGCGTGCAGCACACCCGCTCGCCGCACGGTGCAGACACCGCAGCCGGGACCACCCTGGCCAGACGCGGCGGCGGTCTCCGTGGGCCTCCCCGCCCCCGCCGTGGCAGCTCCGTCCTTTCCGGCGTCACATTGGGAGGCGGCGGGAGAAGCCGCAGAGGGCCGGGCCCAGGGGCCGGCAGGGGCTCGCCCGCCCCCGCGTTTCCCTCCAGCCGGAGGCGGCTTGTGCCGTCTGTCTCCACAACAATCCCTGGGATTTGGTTTTATCGCCGCTCAGCTCTGCCAGACCAGCGTCCTTCCCTTAAAGGGACAGAGGCGAGCGCTGAGGCACAGTGGCCAGCCAGGCCCAGGCCCAGGCGCCGCTCTGGAAAACCGCGCGGCCAGCAGCCAGGCCCAGGCCCGGGCGCCCAGGGGCGGTTCCCTGGTGCCTGGCAGCCCTGCAAGCTGATCGCTGACTTGCCAGGCATGGGAACTGGGACTCGGGGAGATGGAGACCTGCCCAGAGGGGCAAGCGGTGGGGTGCGCTCCGCAGGGACCTGAGCTCGGGCCCGTGGACGGGGCCCCGCTTCTGCCTCGGAGTCTGCCCTCCGCCTGCTCCCTGCCGAGCTGGAGCGACCCCACCTTCTCCGGTCGGCACCCCGCCTCTGGCCCTCACTCTCCACACACTCCGCTGCGAGCCCTCAGCCCTGCACCCACGCGCGCCTGCAGGGCCGGCAGCCCACAGCAGGGCGCGTCCATGGCGCTGCCAGCCGGAGGGCTGGAGCGGAGCGTGGGCACGCTGGGACAGGCCGCCGCCGAGCCTTGTGCTCGCTAGAGGCGGGGAGGAAGCCAGGGGAGGCGGCAGGGGCGAGAGAGCCAGCAGGAGGCCCCGTGCCAGCAGGAGCGGGAGACGGTGACCGCCGCTCCCCGGGGCTGCCGGGTGTGAGCAGGTGGGCTGTCTCGGGCGCACTGACCTTGCAGGGAGAGCAGGCTGCGGGGTCCTGGGAGCACTCTGGGGGCACCCGGGCGGCCTCGGGGCGCGGGAGGACATCGCGGACTCTAAGAGAGCACAGGGGGCCCGCCGCGCGGCACCCCCAGCCCCTCTCGACGACGCCCCTGAAACGCAGCGCGCCCAGAGCCCCTGGTGTGTGGGCAGCAGGGCAGGAGGTTGCCGCTTGACCTCTGCAACGTCCACCCTGGAGTTCCGAGGTTCTGCCAAGTCCGGTAGGCAGTTGGGGACATGGAACAGAAAAGCAGGTGAGGTGATGGTGCTGGCGGGAGAGGGCGAGGGCGGAGGCGACCGGGGCGTAGGTGAGCTTAGGAGCGAACGGAGAGGGAATGTGGCCGAGGGCAGGCGTCCCCTCCGCGCCGGCCAAGACCCGTGTGGCCGCACGCTCACCGAGAGCTGGCCCCCAAGAGGAGGTGAGCCCCACGGCTGGCCTCTACATGGAGGTGAAATGAAGCGAGACCATGAGACGGGCGAGGCCTGTGTGTCTGTTCTGAGTCCGTCCACGGGGCGAGCCCCCACCCCCCGGTCTGCAGGGGCCTCGACGCCGCCAAGTGAGGAAAAGCCGAGCTGCTGCGTCCCGCTGGGGGCCGAGCGCTCGTGGCTCACGGAGAACTGGGCCTTGGCCCGGGACGCAGGTCGGTGGTGCTGGGTGGGCTCGGCGGGGACAGCCTGCAG